TGTGTGTGTGTGTGTGTGTGTGTGTGTGTGTGTGTGTGTGTGTGTGTGTGTGTGTGTGTCTGTGTGTCTCAAAGAAGGACAAGATGGGATATGTGAAAAGAAGCGTTCCAGTGTACCCGTACTTGTGCAAATGGCAAATGAAGCAGCATTTCATTTCACATTCAAAAGGGATTAGCCGTTATCCATCCTAATGCTTAGACAATCAGTATGTGAACCTCTGGGCCCCATCTTCCTGCAGTCTGCATTCAGCTGCAGCCACAAGATTCTCAGTTTGCTGCAGCAGGCTGTCTGCATTAGAACGCATGAATACCTAACAAACTGGCCATTTCACGATAAAAAGGACGCTGTCCACAGGGAAGGCTGTCTCTTAGAACAGTGACTCACATTCCCGCTATTTTTAATCCACTTTTTCCTCGCGCTGCACAGTCACACGCTGTGATGACAGGCCCATTGACGACACTCTTGTCCACCTAGCCCCTACGCGTAGCGGGGGTGGGGAGGTGTGCTCATAGGGAAGCACCCTCAGGCGGAGCAAGCACCTTCTTTGAGGGGGGGCGATGACAGAGCCGCACCGACCAGGCAGGGGCTGAGGTGTCCTTCTGCCTCTTCAAGAAAAACTGAGTCACAGATGCCGGAGTCTCATAGAGCCCCTTTCCTCAAACCTGTCACTGGTAGTGTTTAGACTTCAAGGTCTTAGAAGCTTCATAGCCACAGCAAATGCATACAAGTGGTATAGGAACTGAGAAATTTGCTAAATTCGACGTCAAAGGGAGTGATTCCAGGCCAGAGCTCACCTTTTTGGGGGCAAAAATCTTCTGCCTGAACATGTGGATTGTGTCGGGTCCGGCTGAGGCCCAGGCCTGCGAGAAGGCCTCCGCCTTGTCTGTTTGGAGATGGACATTCTCCAGCTGCTGCATCAGGAATGCTGGCTTGACATTGTGATAGACAGCCTGAGAAGGGGAAGGGAAGGATAAGCAGTCTGGACTTCCCACCAGGACTCGGCATAGCGCAGCACGCCAGTACACCACACGCTGGCAACCACAGTGCAAAATGACAGTTTAGCCCATTTCAATATGAAGAGAGTACAAGTCTCCCATTCCTCTGCCTGCCAGTACTACCAGTTTACACCCTGCATGACGCTGAACTAGCAGTCCAAGAGCGATCAACCTGGCCCACGTCAAACAGGAGGTATAACTGTTTAACTTATCCTTGTAGGACAGCTTGTCAAAATCAGGAACTATTTCGGTATGTCATTTATAAACTCTGGGGCTGACTGTGAAGGACTTAGCCCAAGGCACTACCTGCTCTATGAATCACTAAGGAGCACTACAGCATGTGGACTGTCTGGCAGGGAGCAAAAACATGGACTGTCTGGCAGGGAGCTGGGGGGGAGCAAAAACATGGACTGTCTGGCAGGGAGCTGGGGGGGAGCAAAAACATGGACTNGGGAGCAAAAACATGGACTGTCTGGCAGGGAGCTGGGGGGGAGCAAAAACATGGACTGCCTGGCAGGGAGCTGGGAGGGAGCAAAAACATGGACTGCCTGGCAGAGAGCTGGGAGGGAGCAAAAATATGGACTGCCTGGCAGGAAGCTGGGAGGGAGCAAAAACATGGACCAGCTGTGGGTCCCGAAGGAACTTGTTGGGCAACACTGCACTAGAGGTAGATGAGGAGTGACACAGAGTGATCGGGCGTGAGGGACTCGGCTCTGGGCCCTCCTTACCTGCTCTATGATGAATGAGACAGTTTCCAGCACCAGGCTGAGGGCCTGCTTCTCCAGTGACAGGGCACTTTGCAGCTTCTCCTCCTCCTCCTTGCTGAACAGACTCTCTTCCTAACAGATTAGGTCACACAAACATTAGCTCCCATTCCAAAGCAAACCTGGTCGCAAAACTTGGAATCAGTACAAACACAGCAAGGGGAATTACAGCAGAGATGGCCACCTTCTGGGTCAACGCCAAGATGATGATACAAATACGGACAGAGGCATACCTTCAGGTGAACTCTCTGAAAGATCCGTGAGAGAAGCCTGGTGAACTTGTTAATATCTATAGCGTTGATGTAAGTCACAGCTTCCTTAATGCTGGGAATACAGGAAGTAAATGTTTTAGTTTGTGGCGATAAAGAGCAGATGGGATGCAACTTGGAAAAACGTTGCACATTTTAACACACGGGAGTATAATATGCGCAAAAAAATAAGAGTAAAATCAGAAACGATTTATTGTTATTCAACAATATGTAAATTTGCACAGGAATATTAGCCGTCTTTCTGCCACTCAAATACAGTACATTTTAAATAATTAATTTAATCAAATGCCTGAGCCTGCCCCTAAATCGCAGTGTCTGAGTATATTACATGTGCTGCATGATGGATGGATGGATGCCCTCTGCTTCTTACGATAGAGACTTAATCATTACATCGAAGAGTGAGTAAGGAACACGTTATATACGTATACCTCGCGACGCGTTTAGCTCCAATAAAATCTGACATTCTCTACATTGTTACAGTCAGAAAATCCACTCGAGCACGATTGTTATTTAAATTAGCTGCATATGTGCCGCTTTGATCGAAATCCATTAACACGACACAGCGATACAGCATGGTGTTCGAAAGGAGCTCAGAAAATAATAATAATAATAATAATAATAATAATAATAATAATAATAATAATGCCACCAAACAGAAATCCTCCCACGTTTAACCTCGAACCTCAGAGGTCAGACAAACATCTCTTCAGTTGGACGTTTTATCAGACCGCAACGGAGCAAAACAGGTAATAAACCTGTAACAGCGAATTGACCGGCGCACACCCTCACAGATGCGGTCACTACTGAAGAAGTTCACTTGTAAAGGGCCACGAAGTAGCAAAACACTTACCAACTAGTAATATACACCGTTACACAGCCGGCGCATTCGTTAAGTAATGGCGTGTGCTTTTCAATACACAACTCAAAGTTATACAAAGTTAACCATATAAAATATTTGATTATTCGCATTAAATGCATTACAGAATCTAAGGGTTAGTTTTTACCTTTGGGTTTCTTTGATAATTGCAGCCATAGCGGTGGTTTAACTGCGGACCCCGAGGTATTTCCTGCACTTCCGGGTCTGGATCACGTGGGCCGTGACGCAATTCTAGAAATCATGTTCTACTAGAAAAAGCAGGTGCCGTTGAGGCATTAATTACACTCCAAATGCATGCATGTATTATTATTATTATTATTATTGTTATTATTATTATTATTAGATAACAGTTTTTTAAATCATCGAATATTGTTTTTTGGATACGCAGTCGGCAACGATCTGTAGTCCTCGCGGCGGCACCTCTCTGTGTTTTGTGTGATTTCTGTGTGCTCGCCGGGTTACTACGAATTACAACGATTATGTTATTCGATGGAAATCGACCAATGGAAACTTAGGACTCATTGTTTGCCCCGCCCCGTCTCAAAAGAACGACGACTTAAAAAAAAAAAGATAAGAACTCTGAGAGTCTTGGGGAAACTGCTTGATGGAGGTTTAGACAGATAGATCTCAAAGATAGGACTCAGAGGGCACAGGCTTGATTTTTCTTTACAGTGTTATATTATTTCAGTACAGTTTTAGATTACATTTTTAATTTTTTTTTCTTTCATAAACCTGCCTAAGCAGTATATTGACCCCAGAGGTCCGAAGGGTGTGATGAAGAAGGGTCGCAGACTTGGTACCACTGGCACTGGACCAGGGACCGGTGATGACAGTTCTGGGGACTGTAAACGATGGATGGTCACTCTGAGTCTCTGCGCCTCCTTTTTTGGACTGGTAATGTCAATTTAAACAGACAAGTGCATCTAGTTTAACCAGAATAAATCATAACAGAATCTGCTAGCAGCTTTCTTCATTTAAGCTGTTCTTTCAACCAACTTCTTAAAGAAGCTGTTATGAAAACCTGCTTTAGATGTCATATATGACTGCGAGTAGCAGATCCTTGAAATTAAATAATTTGCTAATAATGTGAATGGAAATATTTTCTGTAAATCTGATTTGGATTTCGGAAGGAATGCAGAGCTGCCACATTTGGAATTTTAAAGCCCTCGTTTTAATTAATTCCAGCTCAGCTGGAACAAAGAATATTAAAAAAATGGGGCTGATGGTGAGGAAATTCCAGGCCGGGCGAGAGCTGCAGCTGCTGCTTTCGTCAGTCACGTTCACGATGACATTTCCATGTGGCTTGTTGCTGCTAAATCATGCATCTGTCTTGTATTCCATCTTCCTGGTACATTGTGAGTCCTTCTACTTTACATGTGGATATTATAACACTGTATAGTAAAATAATGAACCAAAACAAACAATATTTTAACAAAACACAATGCACAATAATCAACAATTAATTAACTCTAGCTTTCTTTACCTTTAATCTACCACGATTAATTTTCTGATTTAATATACAGTGTAACTCACGAGTCTGTAATTACAGGCTTTTGGATAACTTGTTCCATTTTAACAGAATTTTAAATATTTAATTGGATTTCTCACTGAAGGGGTTTAATTTTCCTCTGCATGACAGTCCTGAATTATGGATTTTATTCTGAAAGTGAAGTGATAATCCACACCTGGAATAATGTATCACCAAGGTATTAATACCATCCATAGTGCTTGAAAATATCTAAAATGTATTGAATGAAACTGTGAGTCTGATCGTACCAGTACTTTGAATATGCAAATGAATATGAGGTATTTTTGAGTACTGCATCTCAGGCAGGACTTGGGTGCTGCAGTTTCATTCTCCCCAGATTTACATTTTTTGCAGTTAAAGCTTATCCAGCAAACGTTCCTTTGAAGTTTGTGAGACGATGTGTCAAATGTCACTTGCACTTTAATGGAACTGACCCCATTGTCCCCAAAGAAATATGATTCATCCATCCATTTTCTGTGAGCACTTCTCTTATTCAGGGTCATGGGGGGGGGGGTCTCAGAGCCTATCCTGTAGGCACAAGATAGGGAACAACCCAGGAAGGGATACCAACACTCACACCTGTGGGCAATTTGGTAACTCCAGTTAACCTCAGCATGGTTTTGGGATTGTGGGGGGATACTGGTGTACCCAGAGAAAACCCCATGACAACACAGAGAGAACATGCAAACTCCATGGCAGAGAATCGAATCCTGGGGTCTCCAGAGGAGTGAGGCAACAGTGCTAACCACTGCACCACTGTGCCACCCCAAGAAAGAAAAGTATTGTGTCTAGTTGAAAGAAAATACTTATATTTTATGCCTGTAAATCTCGTGTGGTTGAAACTTTGATGAGGTGCTATGATTCATCTCATAGTGACTCTGTGTGCTTATGGAGGATGGATGGATGGATGGATGGATGGATGGATGGAGGCCAAAATTATGGGGCCAACCCTGTTTGGGAAAGGCCCTATATGCAAACTGACTCAAAAATTGATTATCAATGACCCTGCTCAGGATAAGTGGTTCTATATACTTATGAATCATGGTTCTACAGACTTAAATGGCCCATGATGTATTTCTCTGTGCACCAATTGCTGTGACTATGTAACAGTCAAATACTGTTACATAGTCTGTTGACTGTTCGAAATGCATCTACAGCAGGGGTGGGCAATCAGATTTGCAAAGGTGTTGTTTTCACTGCAACTCCCTAATTAGGTCACTAATTAGAGGACTGATTGGCTGAAGAGTCCTCACACCTGGGTTTGGACAGCTGACCTAAAGGTTATCCCAAAAAGCTGCATACACACCGGCCTTTTGCGCATAAGATTGCCCACCCCTGATCTATTTTTGCGTCCATTGAAGTTCGTATTTCTAAATTATGGCTTTAAAAAGGCAAAATGTGCAAATGTTTTCAAACAAGACCTGACTTTGTGGTATTTGCACCCACACTAAATACAGTCCCTGCAGGCTTATTGAGCATTGCCTCATTTCAGTGTTTCACAACCCAGTCCTTGGGGACCCACAGACGGTCCCTGTCTTTATTTCCTCCCAGGTCCCTGCCAGACAGTAACAGGAGCTGGGAGGGAGCAAATGTGGACTGTCTGCAGGTCCCCAAGGACTGGATGGGGAACACTGCCTTATCTGAAATGGGCTCATTGTTTTCCATCATGGTAACACCCAGAGGACACATTGTTGTATGGGAAGCTGGGGGCTTTTGCTGCATGGTGAAGAGGACCTCCTGGCCCTTCTGTGTTTTGCTGTGTTCAGGGAATGGGCATCTCTGTGCTGGGGCCCACTCTCGGAGACCTGGCCACCAACGTGGGGCAGAATATCAGCAACATCTCCTACATCTTCGTGGGACGCTCCGGAGGCTATATGCTAGGCTCCATGTTGGCGGGGATCCTCTTTGACATCATTAACCACCAGCTCCTGCTGGGTAAGTCAGCGAACAGCGGCCCACATTCAGGTGGACCCACCCCGGACCACTCTGAAAGGGTTAAACAAATCACTCTCTTGCAAATAACATGCAGAGTCTACCTCCCATGCTGCTGAGACAAGGTGTATGTGTGCCAGGGGGGGAGGTTAATATTCAGCCCATCCATTCTTGAGCACTTTGGTCCCTGAGATAAGGTGCTCATGATCTGCACAGGTCTCTTCCTTAATGGCGCTTTTATATACCTGTCAAAGGGCAAAGGACACCCTTTCTGAATGTCAGCCTGGTTGTGGTGCTTATGCTGCTATCAGGGCTCTGCGAATCTAAGTCAGGTCCAACACGAGGGAAAAAAAAGGTCATAGTAAACTGTCTAAAAATTTCCTGCACGTGTCAATAAACAGCAAACTGAGAGTACCTGAACGGGTAATAGTATCAATGCACGTAAGTGCAATTTTCTCCAAATAAGACTGGAAGAACAGCAAACCCATGTACTGTTAGGATAGATTGGCTGGACATGATTAATGACCATTTATCAGTATCTGCATAATACACAATTGCGTCTGTGTGATACGGTGCTTGTATATGACCTTTATGCCTTATAATGACATAGCAGTGTAGAGCTGCCTGCCTCACCATGAGGGATTCTATGAGACACCAGTGGTGTTTCTAACACTGCCCCTTTTCCAGGGTTTTCCATGGCACTCACAGCCTTCGGCATGTCGACGGTCCCCTTCTGTAAGACGGCCCCGCTGCTCACCGTCTTGATGTCCACCGTGGGGGTTTCTATGGGGGTTTTAGACACAGGTAAGGCGAGGATCCATAACACAATTACCAGGATTAATGGCTGTGAGACTTTGACATGTCACATGGCATTATAGTGTTTCACTATGCAGCGTGCAGAAAGCCCCCCGGGATCTCAGTCTTCTTGTAGGCATAATTAGTGACTGGTAAATACTCTGGTTTATTTATTTATTTATTTTAAATACTATGTTTCTGAGAAATATGTTCATAGACACCTAACAATGACCTGTATGATGTATAATATAATGATCAGTTAAAAATGTATATGTGTGTGTGTGTGTGTGTGTGTGTGTGTGTGTGTGTATATATATATATATATATATATATATATATATATATAAAAATAAGAGCACCTACTTATATATGGTGAAAATAAAATAAGGTTTCAGCAGCAGAGGTAGGTGAGAAAAATAGTGTGGAAGACGGGAGGAGGAGGAGGGATTTGTCAAAGACGAGAGGCACCCTGTCACACGGCCTGATCAAGAGCAGTGTCTGCAGTGAGTGATACTTCAAATAGCCCATGAATAAATCATGGAGCCGCTTGTCCACTTTGCTGATCTCTCCCCCCACAGCTGTTTGACCTTCAGCCCATCCGCCTGAATGAGTCTTTTTTCCATTTTCTGCGGAGTGTTGATCTGCTGTGAAGTTCCTCATGTCACCCAAAAATTGCTAAATAAACCGTCGTCAGCGTGTCACATAAAAATGGAAAAATATTATGGGCTGCGGTTTACAGGAATGACATTTAAAGAATAAAAGATCAGCAGCAAATTTATTGTTTTGCACAAATACCTTATGCTTAGTCAGTAATTACAGAATGACCCATATACTTGTGCTTGATTATTAAAGGCCTGTTAAAAAAGGAGTGTCTATAGGGACACCTTGAGGAAAATGACTGAAATGCAGCTTGGTAACCTGGAGGAAAATCCTGGCATTAATATTCATAAACAATATTTTTCGCAATGCTGTTTTGATCTCTCAGGGAAGATGATTAGAACCCCTCCAGTTAGAGAAACTAAGAAGTTCCTCTCCAATTATCCACCCCACAAGGCTGTGTTTTCTTTTTATAGTGCTAATTAATATGCACAACAAAGCTAATTAAACCACCACTAGGGGTTCTCACTTGCAATAGGTAAATGACACTGTGTAGACAGGTCTCAGTTGCCGGACTCTCAGTTGGAGTCCGTGCACTAAGGGTATGTCTTTGTTGACCAAACCACCTGGGAGCTTTGGATTGATTATGATTGGTTGTATTAATTAAGAGAGGTTCAAAGGTCACCCTGATGAAGGTGGCCATGCTTTAGCATAATGTGCTGTTTCTTACTGTCTCCTGCCCTGCAGGTGGGAATGTCGTCATCCTGAACACCTGGGAAGCCCGTTCTGGACCTCATCTGCAGGCGCTGCACTTCAGCTTCGCCGCGGGGGCCTTCGTCGCGCCCATCGTGGCTAAGCTGCTGTTCGGAAATGACGAGCGGCCGGGCCAGACGGACGTCCTGGGGAACTGGGACAGCTGGAGCGGCACCCCGTCCCCTGCGAAGCCGGCCCCGGCTTTCACAGCACAGGCGCTCGAAGCCTCTGCCTCCATGCCGGAGTCCATGTGGGCTTACTTTGTGATCGGCGCCTTCTGCTTGCTGGTCTCACTCCTCTTCTTCATCCAGTTTTACCAGAACAAGCTGTCACGCGGCGTGGTGCGGACCACCCCAGAGAAGCCACTGGTGGCCAGGCATCACAATGCTCTTATCCTCCTCCTGTTCTTCTTCTTCTTCTGGTACGTGGGAGCCGAGGTGGTCTACGGCTCCTTCATATTCACCTTCGCAAAGGACCACGCCGGTATGACGGAGCCGCAGGCGGCCGGGCTCAACTCGCTCTTCTGGGGCTCCTTTGCCGCCACGCGGGGGCTGGCCGTCTTCGTGTCGGCCTGCATGGGGCCCGCCTGCATGATCCTGCTGAGCCTGCTGGGTTGTGCCCTGTCCTCCCTGCTGCTCAGCATCTTCACCCGAAGCAGCGTCACGCTGTGGTCCTGCACCGCCGTCTACGGTGCCTCCATGGCCACCACCTTCCCCAGCGGCATCTCCTGGGTGGAGCAGTACACCCGAGTGACTGGCCGCTCTGCCGCCATCTTTGTGGTGGGAGCGGCGCTGGGTGAGATGGTGCTGCCAGCGGTCGTCGGGCTTCTCCTGGGGAAAGCTCAGGACGTGCCTGTACTGATGTACCTCTGCCTGGGGGCAGCCATAATCACCTCCATCATCTTCCTCATCATGTACAAACTGGCTACTTCGCCCAGCGGGTCTGGCAGGAAGAACCAGAAAGTGGATGACAGTGAACACATCAAGGCCCTGAAGGACACAGGGATCAATAAAGATAAAGAGGAAGAAGAGGAAAGAGAGGAGGAAGAGGAGGGGGAGGATGAGACACTATGACTCCGCAACATGAAAGTAAACTCTGATATTTTTCGCAGCTGCTGTTGTGACCTCGAAGGACACCCCAGCTTCAGTGAGAGCTTCTATATCTGAGGAGACTCACCCAGGGAGGGAACCACCCGCTGATTCACAGCAAGAGAGTCTGGCTGTCTGTCGTTACGCAAGTATTTTTTTTTCCTGAACTTTAAATCATGTTCAAAGGCACAATTACTTTGTGCCCAAAAGGACTCAAGCTGGTGCACATGAAACTTCCCAAAGAAAATATAGTTTATCCTGACCTATAATCTGAATAGTGTAACCGGAACTGTGCAAACACCAGCAGGGGACTTACGCTTTTTCAGCTGCTTTGCTTCTTAAACATATTATTTTCGATACAGTAAAGTTTCAATATTCTCCTATTAGGCCAACTACCCCAAAATCAGGAAGTAGATCAGGCAATGTAAGGCTTGTAAGCTGCATTTTAGGGGTGATGGTGAGTCTGCCGTATAGCCTTGAACTTCTTCAAAGACGCCTGACTCCTGGGCGTCACGCCATCTCAGAGCTGTGGAGGAGCCTCTTCCTGGCACTGTGGTGTCCGTGGACGTGATCCCTAGCAGCAGAGAAGAGCGGCCAGCTCTCTGACCATAACAGTGGGGCAGCAGAACAGCAGGTCAGACAGAGGAGGACACCATCGTGGGAAGCAGTTCACCATTTGGATGTTGTGCAGCCTTCTGGAGCACTTCAAGTGAAAGCAGTGAAGTTCTAAGAAGGGTGATGGACGTATCTCATTTATTCAATAACTGTTTGACAACCACACAGCCCTGTCAATTTAACATTTTTTTTTTCCAGTTTTCATTCATGGCCATTTTTGATGCATTTCTTTGAACTTCCCTGCCACTGTCTGGAGTGCATTTCCATTCCCATCTTTTGTGTGACAGACCCTTATATTCTGTAAAGGTTTTGGCCCGACTGCATACCAGGATCCATTAGGGAGAAATGCCACTTCCCAATCGACCCTTCTGACAGAAAATGTTATAAAAGCTAAATATTGCAAAAGCTTCCCATTCCAGGTTCCTCACCGAAATAGAAATAACAAATAAATACTTCTTTTGTCAAGCCCGGTTTGACCTGGAAATTGGGCTTAAATTCCTTTTTATACAGAGATTAAAAAGAAGAGCATGTGCACTGATACTGCCGCCTTTTTCATGGGTAACAGATACTATATGTTAATGAGAAGACAAACCTAGCCGGCTACAAAGGAGAAGTAGAATATAATTCTGCATGAGCTTCTCTGGGAACACAACGGGAGCTAGCAGACGCTTCCTGGAAACGTGAAACTCCACCATAAGGTAGGAGACTATCTGGCAGGAACACGGGATTCAGAAAGACCAACAACAAAACAAAAATTATTGGCCATCAGCCCCCTCCCGCCCACTGGCTACAGTGCAAATTAGGGCAAGGACGACTTTGGAAAGTCAGACATGCCCATCCTGCAGCTGGATAAATATTCACCAAACACCCGAAACCCTGAATGTAGTCAGTCCCCAGGAAGGCCAGCTGCATCTGGAACCTCCACACCTCCAAAACAAAACAGTCTTAACTCATGTGCAACTCGAATTTAGATAAATCCTCCAGACTCATGGCAGGGGGGGGTAAAGTCTTTCATCTTCTGGGAAGGTCTGAACTGGAGCATCTAAGCCGTTAAACATGAAGGGCTGAGATACAAAAGCAGAGCCAAGGGCCCAGGATTTAAAGACTGGATTGGACCAAAGGAACATAAGTGAAAACCTGCCTCATGGAACCCAGACACATCTGACCAGTATATCTATTTCATGGGGTGGGGATTCTCTAAGTGTAGCCTGGAAGGTGACTTGGTGAAGATATTAGGAGCTGCTTGCAGGTCCCAGCTCAGGACATGCGTGTTCTTTGGAGATCTAGGTTTGAAACAGGCACACATTTACAATTTGTGTGGTTAGCGACACACTGTGGGTCCGCTGGGGGCGTCGAGACGACGTCGCCATGATGTTTTTGAGTAAGACAGCCCTGTTGCTGAGGAGCACCCCGAGGTCTCATTCATCCAATCAGAACAGGTCCTGGTGAGCTTTGTAGGATGTAAACCTAAGATGGCCCTGGGGAGGGATATAATCAGGATGAAGGCAGAAGCTCTACAGAGCATGAAACATTATATCTTTCCCTAGGAGAATTATGTGTCTTTTATAGGAGAGCATGCAGTAATGCTGGAAAAATCTCCCTACTAACACGGTGCCACAACCCCATCCAATAAGCATCTGTGGTTACTGTCTGCTGGAGAAAACCTCTCTCATGGATGTCCTTCTGAGTGTAGGACCAGCTAGGAGGCTTAGAAAGGTTGAGCAGAGCATCTCGGACCACGGATGTGCTGAGTGACACACTGTGCGGGCTGGGATAACAAAACCAAAATTCGGATGTTTGAGAACTCTAGCGTGACTTAGAGCTGGTCACACATACGCGACATTGAGGACTTCCACTCCCTCTTCAAGATGTCAGAAAGAGCTTCAAATAAATCCCTGTACCAGCACTTTTAGAAACACAGGTTTACTTATCTTTAAAGTAAATGTCAACTAGGCTATCAGGCTAGCCATTGATGTGGAAAAAGTACTACTCAGTGGAATTACAGTAATTGGGATTATAAATATACTAATTTTATTCCAAATAAACATTAATAAAAGTATTCTGACAGTTAATAAAACTCAAATGAACCGATGAAAGCTACACATTAGTTGGTCTTTGTTCTATCATTTAAATAAAAGAATATCAATCTGTGTTACTTTAAGACCAGCCACTGGATGGTGCTAAACTTGCCATAATCAGACTTCGTGTTAGTGGTCACACGAGTTGCATTTTGTACCTACCTATCGAATATCCAAAGATCCCCTTTATCACGCACCTTTTCCCACTTGGAAGCAATGTGGCTTTTTTGTCGTGTATTTTTAACATGGAAAATGTTTCAGTAAAAATAACAATGATGTCACTACCAAATAGAAATGCATTTGCTGTAATGAAAAAAGTCCATTTAAAATACACGTCGACACATTATGCAGCTTAAGGCAACTGATAAACGGTGAGAAGTGCTGAAGGAAAAAAGAAGCACTTTGGAAATGAGTGCGTGGGGAGCTGCGTCTGTCACCCTGCAGTTCACCAAAACCCCCAGAAAAGATTCAATACTTTATTTTTGCAAACAGAAAATTACATCTGATTAAAAGTAACAGCGAAAGACTCGTTCAAAAGAACAGAAACAAGACATTTAAAACACTCTTAATTAAGGAGAGACAAAACAACAGTCTGATAAAGTATGGGATACATATATATAGCAATATTCTGTAATTACGTACCGTTAGTTAGGTACCGATTCTCCTTTAAATAGTGTAGCAGCCGAGACAGAAGAGCACAACGTCAGAGATACGTGAAAATACTGTAAGAACTTCATCTTCTTCAGAGGAACAGTCACACGAGGGGCGTGTCACCAAAAAGGTGAGAGAGAGAAATCACACTTGTACCCATGTTTTTTTCCCCGTCTTTAATGAAAGACGTCTTTGACTTTGGATTACGAGGTGGTTAACACGCACTGACCAGCGTCCTGCTACTTGAAGGAGGGCAGGTTTGGCACCTTGATGCTGATATCTCCGATGTTGATGTTGCGGGGGATCTCAGGGAGGTTCATGTTCTTCACGGCAGATACGGCTCGAGCAGGTGCCCCAGCGATACCGGCCTAGACACACACAAGCGCAGTTAGAACAAGGACACTTCGGCTGATCGACACACGGACAGGCAGACTTAAGTCGTTTGTAACGCACCATACAGACACATGGACCGACGGACACGGCGCACACCATGAGTGAATGACGTAATGGACATTCAGGTACACCTTCACAGCCACAAGTGCATGCAGTTCGACCCTTTAATGAGATTTTTTTTTTCTTCATTCAAACAGCAACCAAACTCAGGTGACGGCAAACAGAGCGTTGCAGGTACTGGTGTGGAGGGCAGAGGCAGCTCGAGTTGAAGCAGAACACAGTAAAACCCAGAGGGACACGGGGACGTGGTAAAGAAGGGCAGGACACAGATGTGCAGGATACAGCCTTACACCTGAACCTGTCCTTCATACAAAACCGTGCAGACTCCGTAAGGACAGGACAGACTCCAAGCACTTACAGAGACGCATGCTTCGGTCATTAAAAATGAGTTTACAAAAGGAGCGTCGGACTCGGGATGTTATCGTCGCCCATAAAACACACGGGTGTTAGCGTACAAACGCTCTACAAGTCATATGGGTCCACCGCAGTGCCCTGTGAACCTAGCAAAGCACCGCAAAGGACAAGCTGGAAACAGCTGTTACCTTCCATTCTATATCTAAGCAGGAAATATAGAAGCAGACTTCTGGCCTATGTTTATTTTGAAGTGACATGTTCGGTTTGGTTGTCAGGAAAATCAGGTAGCTTTCCTTCTCAGCCACTAATGAGGGCTGCTAGACGAGATGACGGACTTCAGTAATGACCAGTACTCTGGCACTAGAGGGCGATGCGCCTTCCATTTGTGGCGTGATTTACTTTATCTGTACGTTAGTGCACTTTTATTGTACTGTTTGAATGAGATGACCACTATGATTCCTTGGTGGTGTCACTGCCCACTGTACAAACAACTTTTGTCCTCTGTTGCAATAACATGCACCAAAGGACTCGTACCATTTATCCTCTGCTTCTACGGCAGTAAATTCCAGCGGCTATTTAAAAACTCTTACTCTTGTATCTTACATATTTATATTTAATAATAATGTCCTGCACTGTTGACCTCTTATCTAATGACAAAGGGATGCAGTGAAGGACACGAGGAACAACTCCTTTAAAGGCGTATCCACGGTAACAGAATCTACAGCTTAAACATCACATTCCAATTAATTTATTCAAGGTCCTTTATAAAATTAGCTATACTGAATATACTCTATATTTGGGTGTTCTTTCAGCCACTTCACAATTTTTCATTTATGTTTCCAGCAAGAAAGTCAAAGGTTGTTCCTTGACATCACAATCTGTCACTAATAAAATATTGTAACATAGTACTCATATTGTAACATATACTGACAATCACGAAAAGGCACTTCTATTAAAAAAGCATTTAAATCGTCAAATGAACGATGCCCGGATTTCTACATGAACCACTCCATTCGCTCTTAACTTACAGAACTGCAGGATCTGATTCTCTGAAGTGCGTCTGCTATCAGAACAGAGCATGTGAGGTCACATGACCAGCAGAATGCTCAGAGGGTCGCATAAAAAGGACTCTGCTCTCTGACCATGTGACACGCATGCGTGTCATCGTTTTATGTGTGTCACATGCAACCCCTGCTGGCGACTCCCTTTTGAATCTGTGACTGGCTAGCACTCCTGCTGTGTCATGACTGTTTTGTCTACAGGGCATGCTGACAGTATTACACCGTAAACTGTACCATTAATGTACCTGTCCACACCTTGCCTCAATGTATAACTTTCAATTTCATTTTTTTGTAGGCAAATTAATTATATGGTACTGGGACTGATTGTTAAGAATTTTGGCTGTGAAGTGGTAAACAGCAACTGCGGCTGTATGGTTATGAAACAATTATTTCAGTGACTGCCAGCACATTACAAAAAGAATTATATAAAGATGCAATTACAAACCATACAGACCCCATGCTGCACAGATGGAGTAATTCATGTGGAACCATGTGCAGGCATGAACTGGGCAGCTCAGTGAGCGTACGACAGTCTCACACCTCCAGGCTACGGCGCCGATTCCCACCTGGCTCTGTGCGTGTCTGTGCGCGCCTGTGCGCGCCTGTGTGCGTGTCTGTGCGTGTCTGTGCGTGTCTGTGCGTCTCCTCCCTGCGTCAGCACAGCATTCCACCTGCTGATGCCTCTAATCAGCATTTAATCTTGCTCTAAAATGTGTGAACTTCCCCCACTGCTTTTAAATAAGCCCAAAATAACTGAAATGGGAGATTATTGCATGTTTTACACAACGCAGTCCACTGACTAGACCAGCAATAATTCTACAGCTTTGGTTTAAGACCTCAGTGTAGTTAATAAAACACAAAATGGCAACTTGGTATTATTATTATTATTTTTTTTAATTATTATTATTATTATTATTATTATTGTAGTTGTTCTTTTTAATAATTCTAGTTATTGCATATGGCATTTTGCAGTTTAATTTGACGTAGATTGGATTGTAGATCACATGGGGGAGGAAGAGAAGCTGTAGTGTGTAAGCGGGTAGTTACACAGGTAAAGGAGAAGCACTCCGTAGAAGCGTAGTATGTTTGTACCATCGGTGACACCACCACCCAGTCTATCTACTGCCTTCAAACAGCCTTCATAACCACAGAGTGGCGTTACGCTGCGCTCACTGCCGGGAACAGCATGGGTGCAGAGAAGTTCGCGTCACGTGAGGGGATGAGACATGCGACTCGCTCTTACCTGAGACTGAGCAAAGGACAGAGGCACAGAGCTGAGTGACAGCTGAGTGACTACGGCAGGGGGAGGGGTCAGAGCCCTCCATCGAGCAGCCGGTATTAGCACAGAGTGGTGAGGCCTTCAGCTCCAGGGCACAACGTGAGCACTGCCTTCGTCCCGAGAGCGAATATATAACCACTGGTAAGCCGGGTGATTTACATACTGCAATCTATATAACCAATGAAAAGTCAAATATAGCCGGATAATTTACATACTGCAATCTATATAACCAATGAAAAGTCAAATATAGCCGGGTAATTTACATACTACAATTGAATATTCAATAACTTTGGATATCATTGTTGTTCCAGTGATACAGAGAGGAGGCCTTTTTATGGGACGGACGCAGTGACGTATTTGGGAAGCTGACATGCCCCGAGGCTGAAGGGGGGGGGGGTCACCGTAGCGTGTTAATACCGCGTCTCTGATGGACGGCTTCAAAAGAGCACCTGAGCTCAATGAAGCGTCACTAGTTCTACTGTGGAATATTAATTGGTTAATAATGGCTGTCAGGACATATTAGAAACTTTGGGTGAAATTGTTTGGTTACTTTTTTTTTTTTTTTCTTTTCTTAAAGTCTGCAGTACCTTTGTCTACCTGTCCTGCCCTGGAGACTGAAAGATAAACATCTGCAGAGAGAGAAGATGGAAAGAACTAGCAAAGGTCAGAAAATAGGAGAAATGGGGAAAGCTCATCAAAGCAGATCACAGCTCACAAGGTAGCCGAACTGGCTCGTGCCCATGCATCACTAGGAAGTCCCCAGTGCTGGTGCCAAGGGGAACCGTCCAATCAGGACCCCTTCCAACACCTCTGATACAGAAACACAACAGCCATGTCATTCTTCTGGTATTAATGTTAGGATTCAAAAACACCTCCATCCCTCCATGACTAAGACCTTCACTAAATCACCACCACCCAGAAGCAATTTTTCCTTCTATCTCCCCCCCCTCCAGCATCTTCCCCAAAAATCGTACTTATCTATCAGCCAACCACATGTCCTGCATGAATTTTTCAACTTTAAGTGTCAATGGGACAAACAGGCTCAGAGGGCCTGAGTGCGGCAGACAAGGCTGCTGGAACCACTAATGTAATTAAGCACAGTCTAAATGTGCCTCGGACCTTTTGATGGATGTTGTACATTAAGTACAAACTGACTTATTTGCCTCCTGAATGCCTGGCCGCCCTAATCGCTACACACAGGCAAGAGCAGCAGTGCTGAGGTAGTAATATTTACCCACGGCCACGTTCAGTCTATTCCCTGTAAATAATAGATTACAATTTACCGCTAAATATTTCAGGGCAATTCTAAGCTGACTTTGACATTCACCTATGATAGAAAAAATGAATTTGTGGCTGTTAAGCAAGTGTCAGGAAGAAAGGAATATGTTATAGTCGCGGCTAAAGCACTTCTGAACACAAGGACAAAGACATATGGCGAAAATGCTCAGAACCTACATATGTACATCATTAGGATAATTAGATACAGATATAACAAGCTGCGTATTGATGATTCTCATTGTAAACACACACGGCATGGGGAAAAAATGTCCAGCAGAAGATTGATTCATTTTCTACCTAGTATCCATCTGTGCCCATGAATAAAATTAAATCACGTCTAAAAACACGGCCAACTCACCTGGTGGCGGCTACTTAACCACCAGGCACTGAAGATCCCCAGGTAATCCCAGATAATTAATAATCTGTTTTGGGGCTTCGGGGGGGGGGGGACAATTTGAGTGTAATCAAAATGGGACCAGTGATGTATGGGCACCTCCAGGTTTAGGCATAAATCCTACAAACCGATGGCGACAGAGCGAAGTGAACCACCACAGACTGCAGACGCGGTGAGGAACCGTCAAAGGGGCCACGAATCTCGGCTGGTTTACACCCCAAATAAGCACAGGCCGCACATTCACTCTCCCATGCTGACAGACACCCGTCATTCTGTCCTGCAGAATTAATGCACATCTAAAACTCTCAAAATCAAAGAATCGCAGCTGTAGATTGAGATGTGCAGAACGTTTTCTACCTGACACACCAAACACTTCTGGCCTGACCACCCCGCTGCCCCCACTCCGAAAGTGCAGTCAGGCAGCGGATGTGCGCAGTCTAGCGTGATCTTGCCATTCGCTCGGGTCGTGGGGCTGCCAGGCAGCTGAAGGAGTGTCTTTTTTTCCCCAGCAGGAAGTCACTCTGCATAAGAAAAACAGCACTCCCCTACTGACCGAAGAAGTCTGAAAGATGAAAGATGGTTCTGGAACAAGATAAGGTTTCTGGTACACCCAGAACCAAAAATATGAACTTTCGCTGCCCCATAAGCAGGTCTTAAGCTGTGCTGAGATACCTCTCTGCCGGAGGAGATAAACGCAGAAGCCTGTAAGAGTTAATATGGGACTGGCTTATTTGCTCAGTGAGAAAGTGCCTCATTCAAGCATGAACCTGCCACTGACCTCAAGCTATCGTCAGCCTGTCAGCCACCCACAGCACCAGACTCCCAGCAGAGCTCGGGTACAAGCGGCTGGGCATGTTAGATAAACAGTAGACAGAGGCCTTTTATGCAATTTTATTTAATCAGAGAACATCCTCACATCCAATGGCGAGCAGGACTCCTACCTGACGAAGCGTCCAGACGCACGCGCATACACACACACATACGCACACGGCAATAGGAGTGGAATTCAAAAGAATGGGTCAGGTATAGTAGAGACAGGTCAGTCTGCAGTATGGGGTGGCTCCCAGGAAGAAAACACAGAGAGGTTGGAGAAGCATTAAAGAATGACATCTTAAACATGTCAGAAATGATTCAGAGGCAAGATGGATTCAACTCCCATTTCACACCGTTTGTTACACACCTTCTCCCCCCATGTCCTGAGCTACTTATCAAAGTGCACACACACATGCACACGCACGCACACACACACACACACACACACACACACAAACAAACAAAATAATACAAGTCTTTTGACGTTTTTTGATTGCAGTCACGGGTTTTCATAAAACTGAAATTCCCTTTGTGGAGACCAAACAAATGGTCCCCACAACGTCAAAATAATCCAATTTTGGGGACATTAGCGCGCGCGCACACACACAGACACACACACAGACACACACACAGACACAGACACACACACAGACACAACGAGTAAAGCCTGAACATTCCTCAGAACGAGCGCATCATAACTCCTGCATCACGTGGCCTAATGTACATTAAATAACGACAATCGCAGAGTGCCAAGACTAGTGTAGGTCATGATGCCAAATTCCTACCGCACCTACGAGGAAATACCAATTACAGGACCGTTTAAGGCCCTGAATCACACCAGTAGATTTCATTTTAGATCAAGGCCATATCGATCTGATTAATAATTCAGAAGCTCTGAGCTGCTGTGTGCGAGACTGACAGTTGGCTACCTTTGGTCTTTCCCATAGTGCCGTGTCCACAAGGCCAGGCTTTGGGAGGCGGTAGAGAGAAACTTGCCGTCTATGTGTTAAAATCGACATCGAATGGGAGGCTAATAGCTTCCGTGAATCCAGCTACCTCCTGAGGCAGCAGGTCAAATGCTTGCTTTAACTCACAGCTCAACACTGGTGATTACATCGAGAATTTGCTAGAAATGCTGGTCGGGGCAGATTACGCAAATCATAAACATTACAGTACTGTGTTACTTTACACCTGTGCTGAGGAAGACAGGTGCAGAGACATCTTTGTCTGAGATTCTACCTGGATTATCAGCATATCTCACTACCTAATTTTTAAAAATCAAATTTAGCATTAATTAGGGTTATCAGCATTGTAACACTCCAGGTCTCCAGTGCTGCTGTCCAGATTCAACACAAACTGACAAAACCAACACGTCAAGGTTTACTGCGGTTCTTCCATCATTACTACCATTCAGCCAATACATTTATCAAATTAATGAAAAAGTACTGTTTATGGTGTTTTGGTTTTAGTAAATTTCCCATAGATACTATCAGGCTATGAAGCAAATCTAACGATCATTTACTTGTTACTTGGCTCTTAACAGCAAAGTTGAACTTGGCAAAAGAAGAGATTGCTCTAGAAAGAGTTTAACAGCTATGAGGTTTAATACCTGAATCATTCAAGCCATATGCTACAGTCACTTAGGTCTGTGACTGAAACACCATCAACGCCCCTCTAAACCCAGCTTACCTGACCTCAAATGTTCACCTGATCTCCAAAGTGGAATGAGTGGGCGTACTGGTAGCGTACGGGTAGGGTGGGGCACCCATGACCCGTGAGAGAAAAAGGCTGAGAGACCTTTCCTGCCTCTCCAGCATGGAGGCGCCATGGATCCATGGGGGGGATGATGTGTATCACTCACCACTGGATACCTGATTATACACCCCCTCCCCCAGCAACCGTGCAGCAGTGCCATGCATCTACGTAAGGCTAGATCAGATAGAGAAGAAAGGCGGGGAGAGCAAATGGGCGGGGCAGCAAGGGGGCGGGGCAGCAAGGGGGCGGGGCATGCAGCTATAGGAGCATGCAGGGGCCTATGGCCAGGCGGGGGCCTCGCTCACACACTTACCTCCGATTTCTCCATCTTGTTCTGGGCATCGACTTGCGTGATGATCTCATTCATATTGGTTTCCAGCACCATTCCTCCCATCACCATTTCAGACAGGATGTTATGGACCTTTAAGCAATAAATAAAAAGCAAAAGACTTCTATAAAAAGGCAGCATGAAATAAATCTTCAAAGAATTTTTTCTGGGCCAGTAGAATCACTGAGCGACAAACCTGAGGAATCTGTCAAGTTAACCTTTGGCTAATAACGATAATCAGACTAGCTAACAGTATATTATATTTATACTTTTGGGCAGATTTTCCTCCCCTTTCGGTATTATTATATTATATTATATTATATATTAGATTAGATTATTATAAGGCAATAAGAAGACTCTCAGTCACATCCAATACTGCACTTATCCAGCCACATATCGTTTTACTTTAATCCTAAAAGAAAACCATACTGAAATATTCATCAATATGAAGGTAGCTGGGTCTCTCAAAAACAAAACCTCCAGCTAACCACAGCCCTGTATCCACCATCTTTGTGTCAAACTGGCCCGAATGAAGTGACCTGAAACACTATCCTTGGAGCCAGAGACACAAAACAACCTTGGCTGTATCAGATTAACATGGTGTGTACTACAGATGGGTCACAGCAGTACTGGGCTGGAACCTGACCCAGGGAGAAATATTTATTCACTCTGCTCACGCTCCACAGTGCCCCTTGTGGCAGCTAAGTGCCAGCCAGCCCACGAACAGTCTGTATTTTTAGATTATAGAAAGAGTGAAGCAAACGAGGAAGACGTGCATCCTACAACCATTGCTGACAAGGGAACTGATGGTGATGAGGACCGATATACCACCTCCATATCCCAGGATTCCCTCTGTCCTTTCCTACCTTGTCCATGTGGAAAATTAAGTCAAGTTCACAGACGTTCTCAAAACATTTGTCCAACGTTTCTACAAAGACCTGTCAAAAAAAGAAAGAAATTTTCTTGTAAGAGGGGCCTCGGACACCAAGCGGACAGGAGAACGGTGCATTTTAGTAGGAAGGAAAATCTACCTGGATTAGGTCCAAAATGCCCAGCTCGCTCTCAGAAGAGTCAACGCAGAACACAAAGTACAGCGTGGCATAGTGTCTGTAGATGAGTTTGTTGTCCGACCCGCCGATCAGCCTGAGGAAAAAGATGCAGACAAACACCATCTTCACTCCCCCTCTTTCTCAGGGACATCCACACAAGCCAAGAGCACTACCACCACATGACGCTATCCTTCATTTGTCAGGACTGCACATTACATTTATTTTAGCTGATGCTTTTTTTCCCCCAAAGTGACATAAAATAGCACATTACAAACATATGACTGTCGCTGAGTCAAATGGCATAAGTGCAGCTAGACTGATCTTCCAGTGAATGCCCAGGTACAAGTGTAGGCAGGATTGGGTCAAGGATCTGGGCTTCAGTATACTTCATGAACACTTTTTAAAAGGGTACTGACTCCCAGACTTCAGTGAGTGCAGTAAGAAAGCCTAACCAAACCAGAAAGCACAAATGGGGGTCAAATTAAAAGTGGGTAAGGGCACATTCTGATGTACGACGGTTCAGGAGATGGTGAGGGGTCAGTGGTGTGCACATCTAAACTAAAAGTTAGCCTCATTAACCGCTAATCCGCCAACGCCAAAGTTTAATTCCATAACGCTCATCCAATAAACTGCTAAAAAAAATTAGCGGAAGCTAACAATAACTGCTAACTTCTATTACATACATTTTGTTTGGGTTTGGTTTTTGGCTCTGAAACTCTTAAAAAACATACCTAGACAGCTAAAATGTTTAACCAGTCCCATCAGTTGGACTAAAGTGATTACTACTGGACATTTAGGATTCTGTAGAATTTCCAAAATATATCTGCACTGAAATTTTCTTCTGTGATATTCCATTTGCGAGATATAAGTGCTTTTGTCAGATACGCCCTATTTCACAACTGGCCCATGCGAACATTTTGCTCTCAGTGAAGCCACTTGGGGACTACAAACATGGTGCCGTTTGACTGGAACTAGGAAGGAAGGTCTCAGCTCTTTATTGGTCTACAGCTCTGTCAATCAGAACCCAGAAAATACAACCGGGGGTCTGTATTGCAAAGTAGGATTTTTTGCATAGCTAGATCACTTGTCACATTTCAGGTGGTCTGGCTTCAATGTAAATGAATGAAGATAATTCATTTAATCTAAGGTACCTTAAATTCAACAAGTTGTGATACAGGCCGGTGTTCACCGCTTAGTTCAGGGTACCTCAGTTTAAATGGACTTTATTCACTTACATTTAGCCCAGACTACCTTAAACCCAACAAGTTATCGACCAATCACATCTTGTGTTTACACATAGTCAGCCAATAGCGTGCCAGATAGACTGTTGCAGACAAGCTCACAGAAACAAATATGATTTTAAGGGTTTTCACTTTTTCATTATTTAACTTTATTCACTTTACCTGCAAAAAAATGTTAGCGGATTTACGGTTGGCGGAACTAAATTTAGAGGAAGCCAACTAGCCCACTAATGGTTTTCAAAGTCAGCAGGAGCACTAATACGCTAACGAAAAAGTTAGCTTCGCTAATTAGTGATTTACAGATTAATGGAAGCCAGCCCACCACGGCTCTTCAAATCACAAGCAGCAAAACAGACTCCATGGCTGCTGTGTCCTTAGTCTATTAACATAATACGTGAACAGAAAGGAAAAATTAATTGCTGACCAGTGATACCTTCACAAGCCCCCAACCGATCGAGCGTGCGGTAACCCTTAACGACCATCAGATCCCACAGTGAAACAGGCAGCGAGACCATCTAATGCTCAACTAATGATCATCTGATGCAAATACACAACCGGGAGAAAAATGTCACGTTTAACTTTAAGAGGAAAACACAACAGGGGAAGGGACAAGGGTCCCCATGATGCCGGAGAATGATGGGGAAGCTGTAAAGCAGCAGTGTTTCAGTGTGCGGGGGCTCTGAACAGGTGAGGTTCGGGGGCAGGGAGGCCCCTCGTCAGGTCTGACTGATCTCGCACTTCATGGACGTCAGTCGCCAGCTGTACCGGGAACGAGCGCGTCAGCATCTTAGCGTGTTAGCGTACATGCCGCCTTCCAGGAAGTTGCAGACGTTGTCATCTCGCTTGGAAACCAAATGAAATGTTTCCCGGATGATCTGCTGCTCCGTGTCTTCGGTCTGTGGGGTGCAAACAAAGAGGGTTATTCACACAGTTTGTCTTTCCAGCATTCAGTCTTAATGCGAAATAACTGATTTTAAAACTTAAACTATATCACCATGCAATCATAATTTAGATTGGAAGGCACATACACATAGACAGAGAGAACCTATGGTTTTTCAATTCCTTTAGGATAATTTTCTAAAGACAATTTTTGGGAAGCTGAAATTTTTTTGTAGATCAGGGGTGCCCAGCTCCAGTCCTGGGGGGCCGGAGTCCTGCACATTTTTAGGTTTCCCCTCATTTAACACACCTGATTCAACTCCTTGTGCTAATTACCACACAGCTCTAGAGCTGAATCATTTGTGGTGGAACAGGGAAAGAACTAAGATACACAGGGCTCCGGCCCTCCAGGACTGCAGTTGGGCACCCCTGATGTAGATAAAAATTGAACAAACTCCGTCAGTCCTCTAAATAAAAGGACTCTGAATAAAATCTGACCAAGTAAAAGGCTAAATGCTAAAAACAACAGAACCCAGTGGACGAGACTAAATGGATCTGACTTTATTTCTAACAAAGGACCTTACCCAACCAGTTAACTCAGAATGACACACTGGTTGTCAGCTGACTACAGCCAGCCAATGAAAGCAGACAAACACTCACTTCCATAACCCAGTTATTGTGCCGCTGTCTCATGTCTCAGTGCTGCACATTATGAGATTAGCCCTGTGACGGGAGGAGTCATGTGACTGGGTCATGTGCTTCTGCTTGCCAAACCTCCCAGTCTTTGCCCACAGTCAACCTTGCATCGTAACAGTCAATCTACACGGCCCCAGTCAGCTGCCAGCTTTAATGAATTTACCCACGAACACCAATGCATACAAAACCAAGGGCTGTCCTCGTTCTACATACATGCATTTATAAGAAGGATAATCCAGGGGCTTAACTGAGACACGGGTCCCACAAGGCACTGTGCACTGGGTGTTTTCATTCCCACCTCCTCCACGACTTAGAGATTAATGACCGCTGCATTTTAATCAGATGTAATTAATAATAATAATAATAATAATAATAATAATAATAATAATAATAATATATTTTATTTGTATCGCACTTCACATTTAAAACGATCTCAAAGTGCCAGAGAATAAAAACATTGTCATAAAAAGCAAAAATATATCTAATTCACCAAAAAAAAAAAAAAAAATCCAGCCTCCAACGGCAAAGAGCAATTATTATGTAAATATAATAAATGTCAGAATGAGTTTAGATGGAGGCCGACCTCCCTCTGGCCTGCAGACTACAGCTCACGGGCGCATCAGGCCCCACATGTGTCCTCCTCGCGGTGTTTGGTCACGGAGCCCAGCCACAGGAGGCTAACTGGGAGCTAGAGCAAAAGGGCCGAAGAAGAGACTAAACTCTGGTCCGTCGATGTCCGCAGGCACTCCCTTCCTACCGCAGCTGTCAGGAGGTTACACAGATTCCCGCCTACTTCGATGATCAGTAACGAAAGCTACAGTGAGGTTTAAGAGAGAGCCAGGGACAGAGCGTCTGTGCCAGCGCAAAGGGACCGCCACCGCTGACCTGGAGCCCTGCTTCGTTTACACACGTTACGCAAACCTCGTCTCCGCCTTGTCCCTACGCCAGTATCCGCTTCAGTTTCCTGCTAAGACACACAAGGGTTTTTTTTTTCCCCTGCACCGACACATCTACATCAGCTATAAGACAAACACCGTTTCTTAAACCACAAGCTCTTACTCAGGCAGCTGAGACTCAAACAACCCCTCTGTGTGCAATTTTCTTTGCAGAGTTTTAGTAACGCAGAGAGGGATTTCATTTGTACAGCATGTCAGTTTAATTGCCAGCATACAAAGAGACACTGAGCACGCAGTCAAAACACAGCGATGTGGAAGATTCATGCTATAGTATGGATGCACTGTAGGGGGGGAGATCAGTCTAGTGGTCAAAGTGCCACAGGGATTAAGGACATATCATGTGTTTTCATACTTACTCCTAGGGTGGGTGAGTGAGTGGGTGAGTGAGTCAGGTCAGTCACACACACACACACACACACACACACACATTAGAGAGGATGGTACCCCCCTGGACCAGAGCCCTAAAGAAACACACATTCATTTATTTAGCAGATGTTTTTGTCCAAAGTGACACAGAGCGATAATCATCACAAGCAGACAGCTGTCAGGGAGCCAATAAGGCGCAAGAGCTGCTAAGATGAGCTTCCAATGAGTGACCAGACAAGTGCGAGGCAGTCATGGGGGAGGGGGGAGGAAGAGCGACACAACCAAGGCTTAAAACCTCGAGCGGAAACAAATGTCACTAAGGAGAGAGTCCAGCAAGGAGCTCAAAGTAGAAGTCGGAGTAAAGTAAAGCGTATCACGGCGAAACAAGCCAAGGATAAATGCTGTGTCCGTGAGGGTAGGGTTAGGGGTTAGGCTGGTTTCTGGAACAGATGCTGAGGTTTTGACAGAACAGACACATCTTACCGCCACTTCTGAAGACACCAGGACACCAACACCCCCTGCTCCCTTAACCTGCCTTCCCTCTGAAAACCCAGACACTGCAGAGTCCAGGTCCTTAATGTGTCTAAGTGGACCAGCACAATAGTCTTTCCTGCCGGTACGATGTGCTCTTGATGGTGTCTATTAGTTGGACTTCAAAAGGCAAATTTAACAACAAGAATTCGGCTTAATTATCAGTTTTTTGAAAGGTGCAGCACAATTTTATAGATAAGATAGATTCACTAAAACATCCAGCCAAGAGGAGTTAGCTAGTTTGTCACTTACTGATAAAAACAAGACAATAAAATTAGTATAGATTATATATATATATATATATATATTAATAAAATGCCATTTAAATAAGCTCCAGGCAAACCCTGTGACACTGTCCTCTACTGGACATGAAACTGAAGGATGGATGGATGGATGAATGAATGGACGGGTGTGCTTTGGCTCATAAATATCGCTATCATTTCATCGCGAACTAACTTTTCAACCATCCAAAATAATGTTTTTAAGAAGGAAAGTGGATCTCGGATGATTAACCTGTTTTCAAGTCATTCACTAACATAATCTAACTAGAACTCGAAGCTTACAAACGGTGCGTGCTGAAGAGTCGGGTGGATGATGTGCAGGATAAAGGGTAGGAACAGGACATCGCTAATGCCACATCCATCGCAGGTTTCACCTTCACCTACCGCAATTCCTATGCATTTTTTATGGGACGTAAATATGCCGCCTGTACATAATTGATAGCGAAGCTGACGTTTCCAGCGGGGATAAGGGACAGGAGGCATCACGCTACCGTATCCCGGATCGTGTGTTACCTCAAGCACAAAGTACTTCACATTTCCCTTGAATTTCCCAACCGAAAAAGCAGCACCTTGCCAGGAATACGTCGCTCAGTCATGATTCAGAACAGGCACCAGCGCCGAAAAGTTTAACAGAAGTGCCAGATGGCAGGCAGAGTAAACTTGCCAACAGCGGCGTCAATCAGAAGCTTCACCTTCTGACAAATAAGAATAGGATGCACTTGTATCTTCGAGATACACATCAGCATCTGCCCACCGAGTCAGACACTTAATTCAAACTTCATTCCCAGGCACGACACCCCAAACCCCCGGACAAGGTATACGCGTCCTCCATACTCACATAATGCTCGTAGAATTTAGACAACCGGGGTTTGCCGTGGTTGTTAAATATAAGTATGGCTTTAATCATTTTGCTTGGCGGAGACGAAGAGGGAGCTGCGGCGAAATGATCGGCCGGTGCGTAGCTTTAACCCTCCGGTCCCCGATCGAACTGCAGCTCTACCACCTGAGTGTCCGGAAGCTTCCACGTCATCGCCGTTAGGCTACGGTGGCCCGAGTGGGACCAACGGCCTGCTGCAAGGGCTTGCGCTGCGTTTCGAAATGGCATTCGCCCCAATAACCTCCTATAAAAAAATATTTTTATTTTTAATTTCACAGCATGTCCTCTTTAGTGTACAACAGGAATAAATATGTTTCCTTACATCAGTGAAAAGATAGATGCAAAAACAAAATGTCCACTACAATGGACATAAATGAATGGGTGGGGTCTCTTCAAAAGAGAACGCTCATCCATCAACCAAGCCCTTACCCTAAATGTGCAATAAATAAGAAACAGAAAGTCACTGAAAAAAAGTCCAGAGATGTGTAACATAGTTCAAATAATGTTTGTGGTGTATGAGTAAGGAGCATATGTTAAATTAAAACTGACCATTAAGTATCAAGCAGTCTGACGACTCGAGGGTAGAAGCTCCTTCTGAGGGGGGGGGGGGGGTCAGCCACTCTGATCATTCAGCTGAACCTGAAGGCTGAGCAGCTACCAAACCAGGCTGGGACTCCCGTGGTGAGGGGGCTCTCTGATGCTCCGGAGTAGGAGGCTCTAAGAATGTCTGATGAGACCTAGAACCCCCTCAGCGGCCTAAGATGGTACAGCCTATCCCTGGCTTTACATATCAGCGTCTGTTCATGATTGGACCAGGTGAGGTCATCACAGATACAGACTCTGAGATATCTAAAGGTGTTCACCCACTGAACTGGGACCCTGCTCATCTTGAGAGGGTTGGATTGCTTACACCTAAAGTCCACCACCATCTCCTTAGCATTACAGGTGTTGAGCGAGAGGCAGTTATCCTGATACCATTGTGTCAGACAGCCCCCCTCATCCAGATAGGCTTTCTCATAGTTTTTACAAACCAGTACAATCAAATCTGTCACCTGCAGATCTGTTTAGTTTTAGCTGTGTTTGGTCACACAATCAGAAATAATAATAACAGACACTTTTTATTGATCACCTGGAGTCTGCCTATGAGAACGTCTAGGAGCCAATCACAGAGGGGTGCATTCAGACCAAGGTTCCGGAGCTTGGGAACAGGGACTATGGCATCCATCCAACTTCCACCGGCTTATCCTGGTCAGGGTCTCCTGGTCAGGCTACAGTACTTATGATGGGCCAAATTTAAGATTAACATTAAGATGAACTTCATTCATTCCATGTACATGTAGTGTAGTATTACATACAGTACCAAACTGACAAGGGGCACACAAAAGAAATGTGGTGCAGACCATTTTTAAAAGTACACAGCACAAAAATAAAATATCCTGAAACACAGAATATTGTGAGATGCAACTCAATTATAATTGAGAGCATTTTTGGAATACTTTCACTTATTTATTTATTCTTTTTTTGGGAGGGGGGGGGTCTTAATATTAAAGATTGTAAAATAAACTCAGCGTGGTTTAAATCACACATGCCCAAAACACTGTTGCTTCCCAAGGCACCAGATTTGATATGAACCTTATGCAAGGCCCACAAGAACTGTACTGCTACACCATACTGCAGTAATGTTTCTAAAATAAATTAAGGTGGGTGCCTGGAGAGTAACAGTGACTAATCTATGTCTTTTCCAGCTCCTCACATTCTCTACTATGGGCGTCGCTAGGGGGACTCCTCCTCTAAAATATTCTGTAGCATTCCCCCCCAAATAAATATACACTAATTAGTTTAAATAGTGTTCTCATTCATCTTCATTAAAATAAAACCTCTGTAGTAAAAGTTTTCCCCCCTCCACGTTTCATAAATCGCTATTATTATTGTTGTTGTTGTTTTGGAATTGAGTCTTCGACATCGCCGTTGAACATGAATACGTTTGTGTATTCCTTGAATCCACTAGATGGCGTAAGATTATTATTAAATATGTTATCTAATCGTAGTTCTCAAGGGCCGCAGGGTGTTTTGATGACGGGTCCTTGCTTTGATTATGAATTATTTGTGCAGTGAATCAAATTGAAGTTTAGATGGGGGCATAAAAGAACCACAAAAAACATTTACTGGATGATTTTGTTAATCTGTATAGGCATACACATTTGTATACATTGTATGTATGAATATGATATTGCATATATCCAGTGAAGGGTGTTGATGGGACACAAATGAAAGCCTAGTTTAACTGGTTTAGAACCATCAAGAAACACAGGAGATTGTTTTACTCCCGAGAGTGCAGAGTTAGCACGGCAAGTCCCGTGAGCCTGGCTGACAGCCACCGAATTGCACAACATGCTGGTGCCATGCGCCTAATTACGGTGTAGTCATCCAAATGTGCTCATGTGGCTCACGAGTTGCATAATGTACGTGTTGAGAGAATTGCTAAAAATCTATAAACTGATACCGAGATTAGTCTGCATGCGGAATAATGTTAGGGGAGCACTTTAATCTTGTCCTAAACAATGTCTCATCCCAATTATTGTAGAAAAAAGGGAAAAAAATATGTAAAAAGCATAATACAACCAACAGCGGATACAAATTGCAGGCAAAAGCGTGTGGTAAGAAAAACGACGTTACTCTTGCGCTCTTCCTGTACGTTTTGACAGGAATGAAGTTTTGATGTAGCAAAATGACCTGGTTCTGACTGCATCACAGAGCTGCCAGGTCTCACGCATCTGTCGTGACGCTCACGCTTTCAGACTCTCACGCATGAAATTGCATGGCAAATCTACGTTATTCCATTATAAACCTAAAATCAGCAATATGAAAGGAGTTGTGGTACTTTGCAAACCCTGCACACTATTTGCAAGGTAATAAAACTGCTACATACATGTAAATTCGTGTGCATATGGGCTATGTGCAGAATTGTCTCGAACTGCAAATGTCACTCCAGCCAGCTGACCAGAGTTGGCAACCCAGGCGGTATCGTTCACATTTCCTTTTATATAAATGGGCCATTTCTTAAGTAGCCTATCGTAGGTAAGGGTATGTCTTTTCCCGCTAGGGCCATCGTTTGATAGGTGTAAACAAATCGAGTAATGGCCGGTAACCCCAACTGCTCTATGGATGTTGGCCCTGCCCTCAGACCCTAAAACTTCACTCAATTACAGCACCTCCGAAATATATAAATGTAAATGGGATATAAACAAAAATAGCCTAGTAGGCCTATGTGTATGTAGCCTATAATATTTTTCAGATAACAGTTGCTTGGTTAATTAAACTCAATTCTTCTCTAACTGCCGGAATCTAATCCTGCAGTTGAAATGTTCGCGTACTGCCGTCTCTCACGCAATGCAGACACACGAGAAATACACTTGCTAAATACACCTGCTATTTTAAACAGTCGACGGATAATTTTTTTTACATATGTAGAATAGTTCTTCATTCCAACATTTAGCAAAAACTATGAATATATTTAAGAATAAATAACTTTAATTATTAAAATTATTTTTTTTAACAACATGTTAAAATATGTCACATTCCATAAAAAATACAGAAAAATACAAATTGAGAATGTGTTTGGACATTTTAAGGTACCTTTCTCCCCTTCAAAAGACCAGTAATGTATTCCAGATTAAAAACTAAAATAATAGTCGCACATGAGAAAAAGTAATTAATCCTAAGAAAAGCTTTTCGCTATATGTATATGTATGTGTCTGATCGTCATTTAAGTTCGATAGGCTAAAGGATCACATTTAACGAATAATAATATCAATTTCAACTATGTAGTTGTTTGAAAAAATAGTTAACACTTTGGTTAAATTAATACTTTAAATGCTTTTGAACCCTTGCTATTTTCCCATGACTAATTGGCACCTCATTTGTTCAGACTCCACATTCCATTCTTTTCAATTTGAGACCATGCAGAGGAATTTCCACATGTAGGCTCCCGCTTCTTTACAGCCGGGGGAGGGAGGGGTCCCCCCTCCACCCCGTATTCCTAAGGATGGACTAAGGCCAACCAAGTCCATTCTAATGGGGAGTACTCTAACGCCGGACTGAACCATGACCAAGGGGGGGATTTTCTTGTGTTTATCCATATGACTAGAAGTTTCTTCTATTAGCAATAAATTAAAGCTAACCGTCACAGTTTGCATATTATATACATATATTAGCTTTACATTATTTTGGGAATAATGTGATTGACGGTTTATACATTGATGCGATTCACCCTTCAGTACGTTGGTACAGCCCAACAGCGATTCACCCAAAAATGTATAAAGAGTAGCAGAGCGAATTAATTACACAGTCTGACTGTCGCCGTGTAGCAATGGAACAAACCGAAGTGACAAAACCAGAAACTCTGGACGATCTGATCAAAATTTTGCATCAGATCTTTTCAAGTGACAGCGTGAACGTCGAAGAAGTGCAGACTATAATGGAAGCCTATGAAAGTAATCCGCAGGAATGGATGAAGTTTGCCAGATTTGACCAGTACAGGTAAATATTGCTGTTTTTTTTTCTTTAACGATATAGAACAAAGGGATGCAATTTATATGCAAGCATGTAGTGTAATTTTAAAAATGGATTACTTTTTACTGGGACTGTGATTTATTTTTTTGAAAACGTTTTAAGTGCCACGTAATACCAAGTTATGTAACTTCAAAACTGAAAAAAGATATATTACTTTAAACGAAAAAATGAAATTCCGGATTTTTTATGGTGAGGTGGGAAAATAATTATTAATTAATAAGTGATGCACATTTAATTGTGCCTGTCATCGTTTATTTAATCATTTACAAAAATCAAGAAGTCGTGTTCAAAGTTCTGATTTATTATTATAAGTGTTCTTGTAATTTGTTTTACAAATAAGTTATATTATCCCAATTAAACAGATTTTTTTTTTTGTGATTTATGCATCACATAACCGGCTTAACATTAAACCCCAAAAAAAATTAGTTTAAGGCATTGCAGTGTAATTGCAATGGTTTCAGGTTGAAATGTGTTTGTGATATAGAAAGGTAGTACTTTTAAAATTAGTTTTTTGGAGGGTGTGTTAATGCAAGCATCAAAACAAGATAGATGGGGGCAGCGTTGAATTGTGGTGAGTGTTTTCGGGGCAGACCTCGAATCCGACGGGTTTTTATTGGAAGAAGCTGCCGAGGGTGGGGACCAGCGCACCAATCGGAGCCTCGGTCCGCGCCCACACCCGCGGAACTGCTTAAAATAATCCGCTGTAGACTCGCCGGTGCCCCCGGGGACATTGCGAACCAATCGGTGCGGCATTACCGGTGTTCTGGGCAATTTAGTTTCCCTATGTTTCCCCTGTCGCGCGCTGATTTGTACACGGTTTCGCTGTTGTTTTCATGTCTTTTTAAGGAGCTCTTGAGGTAAACAAGCCATATATTTTAAAACATCACATGCCTTTTCGATGTTTTTTGTTTTTACAGATAATAAATGAAAGTATTTAATTCGCTGGATAGAGATATTTCTTGATGAAAACGGTATAGTATTGCTTATATAAGACTATATTATGCGTGACGATCTACTGTATTCGCATGTAATAATGTAGGCTACCTGAGTGATTTTCAGACATCTCATATACATATTTGCCTAAATATTAGGAGAAACATTATTTCCTGACATCCAGGATATTTGGTTCCCCCCTGTTAAAACAGGTATACAGCAACTCTGGGCCTCGGTACTAATAACAATACAGTATTCACATGTAATAATGTACCTGAGTGATTTTCAGACATTTCACATACCTCTTTGCTTTAATATTATAGGGGAAACATTATTTCCTGACAGACAGGGGAAACATAGGGAAACCGGAGGGCGCATCGACCGGCGGTATGCTTACGCCTCCTCTGGCTGCCTCGACCTGTCCCGCTGTCTTTTTTTTTTATCACACTAAAGCAAACAAACAGAGACGTTATTCCTACGCTATGTAATATCTTTACGCCTAAGTTTGTAGAAGAAACTTTGTAATCAGTCTGTATAATATAATACAGATACAAAGTGTTTGTACCAATCAGAAGTTACATGTTTATTGAAAGGAAAGTCATTCTTTTTCAATAAACGTGAGAGACGATGACAGGTGTCAAAGACGTAAGGTTATCCGTGCCGATCCTCTTTATTTTCAGAGCTCTTCCCACTGACATCTTGACATTTCTGCCAGGGTGTGAGCTCAGTGTTTGCCTTGATCATTCATATGCTACTTGAACAATGTCAAAAATCTGCCTGAAAGTTACATGCGTGTGGTCGAAAGCTTAAAAAATTTAGTCCCGAACTCAAATACATTAATACGTTAAAAACTTTTACTAGGGTGTAATTTGTTGCGAGGGAGCTGAAGTCAGTGTGCAATCGGATTAGGTGACAAGAAAAAATCATTTGTCTGATGCTTGGGTGAATAGATCCCGAGTAGAAAGGGAGAAAATCCAAAGTAATCCTTTTGATGATGAAAAGGCGTATGTGTGGTGTGGATCCGGGAACAGGGAGTAAAGAACAGAAATAAGAGAATAAACAAAATGACAAACAAAAACGCCCAAAGGGAGACTCCAACTTCAGAATGAAACCTTTCTAACCTGCTGATACAATGAATTTTACTAAGTGAGCGTCTCCTTTAAACACCTCTGGGCTTGGACTGTGTATAACTAGCGGTGACCTAACATCGCCACTCCAATGTGGTACAAACTACATTAATGTACCTCCGATGGAACAAAAAATGTTTGACAGAGTTCATTCATTAAATTAGACTAAAAGGTACATTTTCCTACAGCTATGGTACAATTAACAGACCATTGAGGGTACAGCCCCAGCCTGGTACAAGTTGGTCCTTTTTTTTCTGGCAGTGTACCATGGCTGGTTAATGGATGGATGGCTGGATGGATATTGAAGTTATACATAATTTGAACACGTGGTGGCTGAGTAGGTATATTATTCCCTTGCCTCTCCCAGGTTGGAGGTTCAGATCTTACCTTTGCTCCTTGTGTATATAGTTTGCTCCTGGGCTATAGGGGCACTCCGATTTCCACCTGCAGGCATGCAGTTAGTTGAAATGGAATCTTTAAATTACCCGTGCCCTGTGACGGCCTGGCATCCTGCCTGAGGTGCTCGCCAACCCTGAGCCGCCATGGATAGGATCTAATATGTATGTATGACTGGATTTTTAAAACATTTACGCGATTAACAGTAACAAAGATTAACAAAGATGCGACTACCAACCATGGTCAGTGTTGAATACTAGAAAATTTTCAATTTGGAATACATCTGGGACTTTTTCCCTGAATCGTGAAATGTATATTTTGCAGTTTATATTATTTTTTTTGTAAAGTTCCCAATAAGGCTACTCCATAACAATTCCGTGGAAGTAAACTGTAGATAATCAGATGTTCTGCAGCACTTGCTGAAGGAAACAATGCCGGCCATGATGTTATCAAATCGGGAAAACAGTACGGAACTCAAGTCAGTAGCTACTTCTGTAGAATGATAATCATCTGCTTACGGGTGTTTATCTGGATGAATTGCGAGGATCGTCACATCCCAGTTGTCCCTCAAGGCTGTCTGTTGCCCCTGGCGACAAGCCAGCGCTTGTGAATATAGTCGCGTCAGCACTGGGATTTTTCACCCCCCAAACCCTCTTTTTATCTTGTTGATCTGCACATTGGCTGAAATTTTGTCAGATGTCTATGCTCAGCCCACATCTTTGTTCTAGGTACACCAGGAACCTGGTGGACGATGGCAATGGGAAGTTCAACCTCATGATCCTCTGTTGGGGTGAAGGCCATGGCAGGTAGGCGACTGCTGGATGTCTTCGCTCAAGCGATGAGAGTCTGTCCCTCATCCTCATACCCCCCCCCCACCACCCCACCCATCACTGTCTCAGACAGCTGCAGTGCCGTGAAAACAGGGCCCAGAACCAACAGCAGCAAATTACAAATAAACTCATAATTTCAAGCATAAAGTAATACTTACTACCTACAAAGCTCTTCATGGACCTGTTCCTTCCTAACCATGCAGGTTAGGAACCTCAGGTTCCGACTTCCTCATGGTACGTTACTTTAGGTCACTAGTTTAAGTCAGAGTTCTAGCGCCAAATCTCTGGAATGCCCTGCAGCAGAGTCTGCGAAATGTACAATCTATTTCAACTGTTAAGTTCCAGTTAATTACATATCTACAGGCAGCCCCCAGGTTGCAAACGAGAGCCGTTCCCTAAGTCTGTCTTTAAGTCAAATTTTGAAGTCTTTATGTTTTTCTTTGCGAATGTGGGGAAAGCATTCCCTCTGGCCTCTGTCCGGCCATGGACCCAGCTCAGTTCCTTTCTGTTCGGCGGACTCCCTGCGTCATTCCGTTCTTATGCCCAGACTGTGGTCACAAAGCCCTCCTTTTGGCAGAATCTCCACTTGCTTTGCATTTCCAATGGCGGAGAGACTCTTTGCTAGCTAGGTCTCTCGGCAGAACCCCAGGCAACAAAGGCGAATAGGCTTCACTCAGATTTCTCAGACGTCAGCTCTGAAAGCCATGAAAAAACAGCCAAAATAAAGTAACAAAAGTAGGTTTAGCTCAAACGGGTGTGGATGCTGTCGCATATATTATAGCAGAAGCCCCTTACTGGAATTAGATGCCTTGCAGGTCCCCCTCCTGCTTGCCCTGAACCTTTCTGTCCCCCCCTTGCAGCAGTATCCATGACCACACCAACTCTCACTGCTTCATGAAGATACTACAGGGCCAGCTGAAGGAGACCCTCTTCATGTGGCCGGACAGCAAGTCCCATGGCAGCATGAAGCAGAAGTCTCAGAGGGTCCTGCAGGACAACAAGTGTGCATACATCAGCGGTGAGGCAGCCACGGTCACTGAGATCACCATTCCGGGCACTAGTCTGCTTTGAAGAAATGTTATTCCTGATTCAAGATCATACTGCCAGTGAAAAATAATTGGGCACCAGTGCAGGTCAGAACAACAAAACATTTCCTTATGTAAATAGGTATGCGCTAAATTTTAAAACATGAAATTATCACACAAGGCAGCCATTCTCAATGGTCTGCATTTGTTTGTAATACTGCTTACATTCTGATTAATCTTGAGACCCAAGAAAAGGACTGAGGACCAGTTCATTATTTCCAGTGGAATATCCACTGGATAAAACTGAGAATCCTATTAATTGCATATGTGCATCCATGTGATGATACATTCGATGCTCCAGTCAGTCCGGCATGCATGAGTGCCTGATATTCATCGGTGTGCGTCTCCCTTGCCCAGATTCGATTGGTCTGCACCGGGTGGAGAACGTGAGTCACACAGAGCGTGCTTGCAGCCTTCACCTCTACAGCCCCCCTTTCCAGCACTGTCAGACCTTCGACCAGCGGACAGGACACAAGAACCCGGTGAAGTTGACCTTCTGGAGCAAATATGGAGAAAAAACTCTGCATGTAAGTACTGCCTTTTGTCACCTCAGAGGTTCTTCCAGTGATGTTCTAAGAAGACCTAGGTCCAGTGGTTCTCCAGACTAGGGGCTCTCATCTTGTGGGCTATTGTGGGGTTAGGGGGGAACATGGAATGGATCAGAGATACATTTGGTTAAGTAACAGGCTCATTTCATTTCCTGCTTTGTTGGATCACGGCCAACCTGCCAGGCTGCTGCACCAGGGATTCAGGTGAAATTGGGCATTACAAAGCAGAAGAGGATTCAGGGCCCTGCTCACTTACTGCAGCAATCAAAATGTTGGAAGGTTATTGTATAATGAATGCGCTGAAAGAAAGGATGACCACATAGAGTTCTGATAAAAGCTGAAAATGTCTCAGGGAAACGTATAGCTATTTGCTTGTGCAAAGTGCATGTGATGCTGTTTACTTTGGAAATGATTTTATGGAGGAATTATTTTCTGAGCTTTGTGGTGTTTCACAGTAGTGAGTGCAGGCTTTCGTCAGGTGAGGTAACCATCCCATCTCTGGCACTTTGGAATTACCGGCAGCTTCGGAGATATGTGTGCAAAACTGAATCCAGATGGCAAGGTTGTAACAAGGAATGGACTTTACACAAAAGTGAAGAATGCAACCCCCCCATTAGGTGGTAATGGACAGTAGTCTACAGAGCTGGATAAAAACACATGCTTGTGTTCCGGAAGACTGTAAGGAAACTTTTAATTGCAGAGATACATTTCCAGGTCGCCTTGACACCCTGATGCACTGGATTTTGTAAGAAGTATGAAAATGTTCTAGACGTTGGTGTAGACCCTTCCTGGAAATTCAGTGGGCTTCATGCAGATGGTTTCAATCCCAAACTATTGCAAGCTACTAAGGTGTTACTGGGATTTTTTTTTTCCAGTTCAGCATACGTGGGTAGGCAGGAATGTGAGGCATCTGGTTCCAGATGGTTCCACTGGGCAGGGGCCCCCGCTGGGCCAGCGTGTGCAAGCATGTCCCACCGCTACGGGCCTGGAGCAAACGGCGGCCCCCAGCCACGTTGTCGGGCCACTGTGCAACATGCTTATCTGTAGTACGGGTGCTATTTCATTAAAACAGCTACTGTCTGGCCAGAAGGCCTTGCAACATACCCCCCAACCCCAACGATAAGATTAGATAGTGAAACATCTGACTGGCTCGCTGCTGTTTGCTTTCTGCTTACCTCATTGCCCCCCTCCCCTTCTGTTTATGAAATACCTATCTGTGTTCGATATTCACTACTCCTTTTGGGGGCAGTCCGCTTCCTGTGTTGCAGGTGTGATTCGTGCCTTCACGCATAATCTTTTTCTGATTGGACGGTTACTGATACCATGTGACAAGCTTTTTGTCTTTCTTTCTTGCAGGAAACAACAGCCTCACAAGAAAACAACTGAAAGTCAGCGGTGACACATAACACAGCTTTGGGAAATCAGGCATAATGAAAGTGATTTTTAAAAAAAATCTTTTTATGAATTGAACAGTATGGTTCAAGTGGGCGTCACAAACACTGGGATTAGGCACACAGTCTAACCGCCTGCCTCTGTAATTACATGTTTATACTCTAGGGGGCATGACTGGAAGCATGGCGGAAGTCTAACCCAGGCCACACCCACCAATGGACCATAAAGCTTTGATGATCAGGTTTTTGTGATGAATATCCTTTCTTTTACAAACAATGGAGCACTTTTTCCTCTTGAGGCTTACTGACTTTTTTTTATCCTAAGATTGCTTTTTACATTCATCTAAATTATACATACATAACATTTCTTGTACATTCAGACTAAACTTATGATTTAGTGCGCTTCAAAAGCTTTGTAGCTGTAGCCATAGTCATAGCCGTTTACAATCCAGTACTGCTAATTTATTTACAGTAAATGTTATTGTTATACGTTACTTGAGCATCACGGGGGTGGGGGGGGGGGGGGGGGGGGG